TCGTTAGTCGTTTCTAACATTTTGGTTCGCTCTCAGTCGCAAATATGAGACAGAGCTCTTACGTACGGTTGGCACTCATAGTTTGATTGCACAAAAAACTACGACAGCGAATTCACTCGCAACCTCCATGAGAAAGTGTAGCAATTCTAAAAAAAAAAAAAGCAAATGTTTTCCACCTCAAATGTTTTCCAAGGTTAGTGAAATGGGTTGAGGCTAGCGAAACACTTGACCTCAAAGCGGACTGACAATTAGAGTGCGTGATAGGCAGCTCCGAGCCATTGTTCACTTCTTCCCTTTGTGCAACGCACACTCATCTGCCAATAATGAACAAGTGAGGTGTCAGCAGTCGCCGTATAGGTCAAACCAAACACAATCTGATGATTGTGATTATTTACGCTTCCCTGCTAAATTAAAACACTAGACTATAAAAACAATAAAAAAACAAACAATACATCAGTCTACTACATAAAAAAAAATGTATATTTTGAGCCCAGTTAAACCTATTTAAAACCAAACCAAACAAAGGAGCAAAGCAAACAAGCTCCAGATGTCAGCGGCAGTTTCACCTTAAGATCTGAGGCTCTTCAAAATGTTGACTTTTGGAACTTGAAAGAAAATATCCAAAGAGCAGAGATATGCTAAAAAGTCCAGCATGTTGTGATACCTCTTGCTTGGTTGGGTGGTCCTTGCAGGCTGGCTGGGTTGAACAGAGTGCGTATGCTTTTTAAGCCCCCAACCATTGGCTTGCATTGTCCCCCCTCACAAAGGGGCGAATGATCGAGCGCAGCATGTTAGTGATGACAGTCTCTATTTTACCCTCTAATAACCTTTATCCATGCAACAAACCTATCTGTCCCCTATGTTTTTGGCATACAAACTCCACGACATGAACATATGGCTTTCATCACAAAATAATTTTAGAGTTGAACTTGACCTTTCATTCATAGCCTATTATCGGTACTAAATCTATAATGTTGCCATCATAATCATGGAAAATATGAACCGCAAAGAACCCACTTTGTCATTTCCATTCGTAAGGAAGAGAGGCTTAGTTGTGGTTCAAAGGATTCAATCAAGGCCTTACAATGAAAGGTTCAAATTTAGGCAATTCCATTGATACTTTACCTTTATACCAGGGAGGCTTTCTCACAATAATTTACTGTGATTGAGTCCAAAAAGTAACTAGAAGAAAAAAGGTGTACTTTTGGGTGAGTTGAAAAGGCTTCGCTTTATCATGAAGTTGGACAAAAAAGACAGGCGGGAGGTCCTCACATGCAATATTATCATCACAAATTGTTCGCCTCAGAGAAACATTCATTTAATGCCCCGTTAATTCTCATGACATTGTTTTATTTCAGCCCATTGAACTCAGATGGCCCTCTGGCAGGTAAGACAGCACAATAAAAGATCCCACTGTGACCAACAATGACGAGACGTGTGGCACAAACATCGCTGACGACAACACGCGCCAATTAAAAGTATTTCAACATACAAACTATTCGTAGCGTAAGGTAAGCTGAGGTTGTAATGGTTGAAGTGAGACATTGTGCAAATCAAGTGAGGGAGTTTGGGACAGTTGTTGACACATCTTCTGTCAATCAAACCAACAGCTTTCTGCATAGTAGTTAAATCGAGCTGCTATGGTCATATTTTCCTGTGCACAATCTTCTGTCAATCAAACCAACAGCTTTCTGCATAGTAGCTAAATCGAGTCGCTATGGTCACATTTCCCTGCGCACAATCTCTTAATTTAAAGTGGCTGAATTAAAAAAAAAAAAAAGCCCCACATTTTAGTTGGGTTATACGGCCCCGGTTTGCCCACAGACAGGGTACGTGGTGGGAAATGGATGCAGGGTTGGACTGAGAAGTCACAGAATGCATGCTAACCATTCTTTTAAAGACTGCTATTTGAAGATTATTCAGCATCCCACATGACATCTTCACTCCAAAAGGGCACGGCTTTTGCTCAGTCAATAAACTCTCATCACAATATTTCTTATTTCAATATCACCTCATCTTACAAGAAAGATAAATTGTGCTAATCTTTGACTCAGTATCAAATGTGTTGGGATTTCAAAGACACCTGTAAAGACCAGTCGACTGTCCTAAAGGTGCAAACCGTGAATTCCATTTGTGTGCAACCAAACGCATGTGACACATCGACAAATTGATGCGTTCAACAAGTAAATGGCTAGCTCCTTTTCACATTGTGCAATGTGATCATGTTACCCACTTTTCATTCAGTTCATACTTCCAATAACACAGACATAAAATGTGCAGAGTGAGCAACATTACAAAAATGTGCATGTGTCAAGGTCCATACAATATACGGCAAAACTAGATAAACCTGCATAAATACATCAATCACTTAGTATTCCAATTCAAAATCTCTTGGTTGGTTAAAAAAAAGAATGGTTAAAAAGGCACATAATGTAATAAATTCTTCAGCACAGCATTCGAGTCCATTAATATCAATCTTTTGTAATTTGTCAATGAAGTTTCGTAATCCAACGGGAATAGGACAATGCTTTTCTATTGCAGGATGGTGTTAAATATGCATTTTAAATATTTTGAAGTCATTGTTTTACTTTTCATTCTATTAAGGTTTTGTCACAGGTTTACTCCCGTTTGCGGTTCTTTTAGCGAAACTCCATTAATATCAATCTTTTGTAATTTGTCAATGAAGGGAACAGGACAACCCCTTTCTACTGCAGGATGGTATTAAATATGCATTTTAAATATTTTGAAGTCATTGTTTTACTTTTCATTCTATTAAGGTTTTGTCACAGGTTTACTCCCGTTTGCGGTTCTTTTAGCGAAACTCAATTCGCCGTGACAAGCTCAAATACAATCTCCGGATTTAAAGTGCAAGTTACAATCCAATCGTCTGATTATTTGTGTGCATACAAGCACAGCATACAACTACACTATTTCAAACCAGTGTATGCTCAACAAATTGTACATTTCGTGATGGTCATACACCTCCATGTTGCTGCTGAAAGTATTTGCTCTCTTCTATACCCAAACAAAATATCTTTTGACGTCAATGACAGCATGATTTGATGAGCATAAAACAAATCAGGTTTTATACGCTGCATGAACCAACAGCATGGACATCTTAAGACACAGAAATACAAACAAATGCAATTTATTTATTTTTTTTTGTGATCCCACACTGGGATATACTTCATGCCCGATTGAGTGCTCGCTACTGATTTTGCCGTGAGTTTCCCGAGACTCTCTCAGGGGTTGGGAGCCCAGAGGACGACAGTCCGATCAGCGGAGGAAGAGAGGAAGGTTCGGTCTTTGGGATGCCATCGACACTGGATCACCTTGTCCGCGTGTTCTCCTGCCAATGTCTGTGGCACTGCTTTT